GCAGCAGTTACAAACTGGGTTTTGGCAAACAATGCCATCACACTAAGAGAGATCTGAAGCATAGTCTATGTGCTGAGATGCATGTTGCACAATGTTATTTTTGAATAAAATGGGATTTATTTTTCATTTCTTCATTTACTGTATTTCTGTAAACTCAAGCCATTTTTCTCTGCAGAAACCTCTATGTACAGAGCATAGCCCATAAAAGATGAACGTGCTTTAGATTATGCTCAGCAGTGTGTAGTTGGGTGGCCAAACAATCTAGTATTATGAAGTGTGTTAAATTTGGTGCAAAAGTTTGCATTTGGTAAGTGTTTATGTAGTTTTGAGTGCAGTTCTTCATTTAGCAGGAGAAATGAGGTGTTTTGCACTTTGGGTGTGGGGTTTTGTGAATTGTGTTTAGTGTTCTGGAAACTGAGCAATTAAAAAAAAAATGTAATCAGTTTAATGAATCAATTATAATCACATCATATATATTATTCTGAAATGGACCAATCTGCATCGTGAGTACTTTTGGTTCTTTAAGTATATTTTGATGCCAATACTTTGTAACATTTTCAAAGCAGGACTTTTACTTGTAACAGTATTCCTACATCACTCTGGTACTTGTACTTTAAAGGTGGGGTAGGAAGGTAATTCACTTCAGAAACACTTTGTTATATTCCATGGAATGCTCTTAACATCTCGATAGGCAATGAATACATTAAATGCTTTGACAATACATAAAAGTCATCTGTGGAAGCCGTGGTGCTGTAAAAAGCACGACCAATCATCTGAGCCGGCCCGGCTAAAATAACTGGATGGCCTACCTACACTGTCAGCCTTCCATCTCGTGCCCTCATTGGTCATGTGCGCGTCCGTGTGTGTTGGAGGACGAGGGGCTCTGGAAGTCTGAAGGAAGGCGCAGATTTGTTCCGGTTGTGTACTTTCAAATTCTAGCGCACTCGAGCTGGTTTCTCCATTCTCACCTACCCTAACACGATATGAGTATTTGTCCCACCTCTGCTGCCAGGTAAGGACACAAATAGAAACAAACTGACAACGTGAAATTGAGAAACATTTTTATTATGTTTACAAAATATCAGGAGAGGTTCAAATAGCATTTTTGACATCAGGAAGTCTGGCTTTAACACATGTAGGTAAACTGTGCGTTCATGGCCTCATCCATTAGCCACGGCTTTTATAATAGTCCAAGTGCGCAAGTATCCATCCAGAAGGCCCGAGGATGGTCACAGTCATCACCGTCAGCACGAACATAGATTCCTGCGAGAAAAGAGACATTTCACTTGCACAATTTTGTTTTTAAAACTTCGTCAGCTACACTTTAAAGGGAGGACAGTTAGCATGTAGGTCACTGAAAAACGTATCAGGGCTAATTTAGCTAATTTACCGCAGCGCCGATCTTATCTTTCGGTGGTTTGGACTTGATATACGTTGCTCGTTGTCTAATCATCACATCTGCTCGGTTAGCAAGAGTCCATCGAGCCCTCAGCAGTCCGGCAAAAAGTCCACTCATGTTTGGCTTTAAAAGACACAGGCCTGTTTCTGCTTCTGACACCAGATAAAGCACCGTTGGAGGTTTTTAGGGGAATCCTCCCTCCACGCGCACCTGAAGTAACAATGACACACCTGTTAAACATCTGATTTTAATTAGGTTGCCTTCAGGCTCTATAAGAACAAAACTGAAAAAATGAATGATGAGTTCAGGGTCCAGGCAGTTCTGTGTGACAGAAACGGTTCTTGTTCTTACAGCATTTTCTAAACAGCATTAGCCTGTATTCAAAGAACATATTTAAATTATTTTTGTTTAGCCTTTTACACTCGTGCCAAGCCTTTCCACCTTTATTTTTTAAACAAATACGTCTGACACTCCCTCTACACTTTTAACTTTATTTTTTTACTTATTCTTAATGCACCATGTTCCTTAAATATATTTATATTCAGTGTACAGGCTGGAGTGGAGTCTGAGTAGCCAAATTCCCAAATTAAACACATGGTCATCACCATAACAGTGATGGTATATGAAAATGGCGCCACTACTTGGTGGCCAACTGTTACACAGAGGTAAATGTATACTATTTATCACAAAGGCTATCTTTATTATGTGTTTTAAAAGTTCTGCCAACCTATTTGTCTTTAGGATAATAAAGTTAAGCTGTCAGCAATGTAAGCCAAACAGTGTTAGAAACTTTGTAACTTTAGCTTACTTCTACTTATTTAAAGGAAATATAATAACAACTTTGCAAATAAAAATGCTAAATAGGCCAAGAAAACTAAGATGACATTATATTTGATTTACTTTGACTTCCCTTACATCTTTCGATGTAATGTGCTGCAGTTTTTGTAGAAATTTAAAACAAAAATATCAGAAACCAAGAAAATAATGTCTACGAGGTGAACGCTGACGTCATTAATGGATTACTTCTCTTAATTATTCTTTCCCTTTCCCAACCCGCTCGGTGTGCCAGTGACTGTTGAAAGTGGGTCGGCTCAGCATTTAGCTTGTGTGAAGGTTAAACCTAAATGCTGCGTTGATGACTGTCTTAATGTCTGTTTTTTTGCCTGGGGTACAATTGTGTCATTAGTAGAAGGGAAGGGAAAGGGAAGCACGTTCGTTATCATCACTACCGGTGTTTAAAATATTTACACAGGTTTTTCATTTAAAGTAAAAGTTATTTTAACATAATGGTACTTGATAAGGTAGGCAAAAAAAGAAGAAAGAAACTGTCAAAGAAAAGTAAAATAGCCAGGACTCTGGAAAAAAGTTAATTAAAGGAGATGTTAAAAGGAAATTACATAAAACATAAAAACTGAACATTTGCAAAACCATGTGAAGCTTCTTGTGGTTTACTTAGCCTAACAATGTAATACTTTTACTATTCTATAGCTATCCACTTGAATGTATGCCATATACTGTAAGCTACTATGCCGCAGAAAAAAACAATCTTGTTTCCCTTTTACTTGCATGTCAGTATCTCCAAAAAGCTAAGAATAGACAAATCTTCCAATTTTAGCTTCTCAAATCTGACATTTTCTGTTTTGTTCTGTCCATATCGACGTTAGATTACATCTCTTTGGGTTTCGACAGTAGAACAACGTCAAAGTAAAACAATTTGGGCTATGGAAAACTGTGAAAGACATTGCTGGTTGTTTTACACATTGTATGTCCATTTAATGGCTAAACTTTAATCAAGAAAATGGCTGACCACCTAAATAAATTACTAATGAGATCAGACTTTATCAGGGGGAAAAAAGTAATTAGATATTTTGGTTGCAGCCATGGAAACGTGTCTGCTAGCTGAAGGCTTGAGCTGTACTTGTGTCTGTGATCTCATTACTTGGACCAATTTGGTCTCTCTCCTTCCCCTCTTCAGCTCACCCTCCTCAGCCACCTCCCCCTTGATATTGTCCTCCTGTCCTTAAATAACCACATGGAAGCTGTCCATCTTTGCAACATGGCCCAGCATGCACTTCCTCTGAGGTGAATCAGGAAGTCTGGATGCTCGTAGATCTTTACAGCTGGTTTGGCGAGGGTCGGATGCTGATTTTAGAGGGGAGAAGAAGCAAAAGAGAAGGAAAGGGAGGACTGAGGGGAAGAGTAAGGGCTGGTCCAGGCCTTGGTGAGGCTCCAGGTTCGAGCAAGGAATAAAGCAGGTATCAGTTCAGAGAGAAAAAGAGAAAACAAGTGGCTCAAACCATCAGCTTATCTCAGGTTATAGCTATTGTGTCAAATGGCATGAGGCCAGCAAAAAGTAAAGAAAGGATGTGAAAAGTGAGAGGCAGATGAGTTTAACAGAAGAAGAGAGCTTCCTTTAATCTCTCTGTTCTCTATACCATTATTTATCTTTCATTTTTATAAACAATCAGTTGAACTTAATAGTGTTTAAGGCCCAGTCTAACTTGATTCCAGACTCCTTCCATGTCATGAAATGCAGTGTGTAAATTGTCAATTTCCTAACAAACTCAGGATGACCTCACAAGACTCTCCTTTCCCACCCACACACACACTGTCATGCTTTCAACATTCCTCAGTGAGATGTTATTAGATTTGTCGGAGGAGAAATGAAGTGCCACAGAATGTCAAAATGGTGGTGCGAGTCTACAGGGCGGTGTGGTTATAACAAAATGGTGCAGAGAAACTATTTGTTCGCCAAATTAGCTTCATGATGGCTCTACAGATGTGGCTCTGTCGCCCACAACTCTGTGGTATAATCTGACATATTTTATAGGTTATTGGGTTCCCATGAAGCCTTTTACAAACTTGTATGTCCCCTTCAGGATTACTTTGGTGACACATTATCAAAAAATTCAGAGAAAAGTTGGCACCTTAGGACTTTGCAGTTGTTCAACGGCCTTATGATCCTCTGGACAATGTGATTCTCCCATAGACTGTATACATAAGGTTTCTCCAGGATCATGTGAACTGATATGGCATCCAAGATGATTCATCCGATGCATTCTGGCTGCCTAAGAGAGAACCATCAGGCAATTGTGCGTAGGTTGCATTCACGTAATTATGGGTAACTTGGATTAAACTAAACAGGAAATGTTTGCTTCCATAATAACAGCTCTTACTCTAGCATTTAATTTAGAGCATCTCTTTGGATTTTGAGGTAATTCAGAAAAACAGGTCAAATTGTAATGAGAAACACTAAACGGGACCAAAACAGAAAAGTTGCGTGCCATAAAACCAAAACAATACGGTGAAAGACGGCAGAACAATTCAAAGCGCTGAAGGGAACTGGGTCAAGTGATAATCCTCTCAGGTTCATCATTACAAATAGGTGTTACCATCCACCTCTTTTTGCAAATGCTAAACATCTTGGGGGTAATCCTGTTGTTTTTTCCCCTCAAAATTCAGTAATGGAAACCCAGTAATGGACTCCTTTTTTGTTCTGAGTTGTTGATACAAAACTTGAAGTATAAAAGTTGATTAATGCAAACATGTTGGACAACTATCAGCGTATGATTGTCGGATCATACCATGACCAGCAAATGTCATACTTTCCAGTGTAATATCAACATATCATGTATCAACAGAATACAATAAAGTCTGGATGTATTTTCCATATTTGAGTTGCGAAACTGTAAACTGTTCTCATCCATAAACACAGAAGTCATCTGTATTAGCGGAATATGTTTAATTATAATCTATCATTAAATATTACATACAAATTATACAGTGCATTGTCACAATACATTTCATGTCAGTTCTGTACAGCAGTAAGTAACCTATGTTGTTGAGGTCCACTCTTAGAGCCAGAAGATTAACAAAAATCAACATGTCCGTGAGAGAATAAAGGAGTTTGTGGACAGGGAATCACCGACCCCCCTCCACACCCCCCTCTTCCAGACGGTATCATTTTCTCATCTTCACAAATGATTTCACGCATCAGTGGAGGAAGGAAGGTCACAGTTATCTCAGCTTAAACAAACAGTTTGTGTCTTTCACCAAAATGGCCTCTGCTTATCACCCAAGATGACTTGCAGATCCCAATCCGAACAGTTAGGAGGTGCAATGAGTAACTGTGAGGCCATGATTGTTCATTGTGTAAAGACACAACTGAAAGCCTAGTTCCTTAATCGTTTAGACTTCACCAAAATGAACACTTCTCTTATTTGTTAAAAATATATTCACCCCTGCTTTTGCCAGCCCCAGGCTTTTAACTGTGTGGGAGGGAATATGCAGGTGAATATTAAAAAAGGCAGAGATATGAAGACAAAACAAACATGGAATGCAACACCTCCCATCCAAAAAGAAAGCATGATAGGCTGTTGACTGGCGTGCACGCGTGTGGGCAAACTTTACGTGCACTTACTCAGGAGTCCAAAAGAAAAGTCTGACACTGCACTGAAAATAGGAATTTTCTTGCAGAAATGTACAGAATCTTTATCATTTAGGCGTTACCCTTCATTGACATCCACGCAAGGCACAAGGCAAACAGGACAGATATGTTGTGAAATTCTTCCTCTTTTGGCCTCCTCTCTCCACCCACTCACTCATCAGAGGAGGGGAGGTCGATAATAATTTTCATTTTCATGATCTTATTTTTGTCTGACAGTTTTTTCGCTCCTTCCCTCGCTCCGGCTTCCTGCTGTTCCTCCTCCTTCCTCTTCACTTGTTCACTTTTACCACCAGGTGAAGAAGGGTCTTCTGCTCTGGAAACTCTGTGTGTACGACTCGCTGTTGGCTCTTTGAGGTGCTCTGGCTGTTTCCACGATTACTGGGGGCATCTGGACCAACTGCAGGGGGGTTTTACCGTCCTTCAGGGCTTGGCACAGGTTCAGGATCTTGGGATAAAGAAGGGGAAGGAAAGAGTTTCTTTAACGCCACATTTCAACATAGCTGTGTATGTATTCAGGGCTTTAAATTCCTATGGAGAAATCTGTGATCTTTGAAGTGTTTGGGAACTTGTCAAAAATTGCTTTCTTTTTATTCCTAATGACTATGATGGCGGTCAAATTTTATGTTGTTGCTTAACTGTAAAAGAAACTAGTTTTACCTCATGATGAATTTAAACTAAAATGGTTTACGTAGCCCACGCCACAAAGAAACATTTGAAAAGAAAAATATCAAAAAATAATGGACGAAAAATAACAAACTTTCTCCCATATCTGCCGTGCAGGGCCGCCCCACCCGACCACGCAGTTTTTCACTTTTTCACTCATTTTGCGGAGGGAGCGACACAGAGAGCCTCATCATATAACTTTGCGTCGGGCCACAAGTTGGGGCCTTTTTATCCTTTCCTAATGAAGAGACATTTCCCTTTTTTGGAAAAAACTCCGGTGTGTACCTCGTTTACTATACGGAATTAAGGAAACAAAACTGTGTAGAAACAAGCCCTAAAACATCAAGGCACATTTATGCCTGGTGAGATTCCTCCAGGGAATACCATTTAGTCGCATGTGTGTCCAGAGGAGAGAAGAGAACTCACCTGCCCCCTCATTACAGCTACTTGTTTGTGAAACTGTCCTCTGTCGAAACCAGGGTCTTTCTGCAGGACACAGTAGACAATAAACATGTTAGAGATCATGTTTTACAGCCCCAGAACTGTCTCATCCTCTTCTCCATGTTGCATTTTCCATTGTTATAATTTCCACAATCAATCAACAATCTTACACTGCATTCGCTCTGATTATTTTAACTTCATGCTGTGCAAAAAGGCTGACGGGTCCCTTCATACCTTAAAAAGTTCGTACAAATCCTCTTCCAGGTCTTTGATGAAATTTGGGTCAGAGAGCTTGGGCAGGACCAGTTCTCTGATTTCTTGGGAGAAAGGAACTTTGGCTTGGGATAGCCACGCCCAGTAGAAAGGGTCTGGTGAATGGAAATTACACTGGGTCTTAATGATCATGGACGAGCTGGAGAGTTAATGATACAGAGGCGGAAATACTTTAAATAAACTTTGACTGCAATCAAAATATGATGAAAAAAGGAGCACTAAGTAAGTATTAATATTGCCAAAAGAATATAATGCCTTCACTGGACACAGATAGGTTGTTCAAATGCATCACCCTGCCGTGGGTGAGCAGTGATTGGTTAAAAACAATCACTACTAGGTGCTTACAGGCTCTCCAGGAGTCCGGGTGTTTGAGGGGGAAGGCCAGGCCGTTGTCTATAGCTGCCAGCTTGATGATGAGATCCTTTACTACCACCCAGTCTGTGTCCTACAGAGACAAATACAATTAAAAAACACATATTCAGCCATTACGGCCAACAGCATTGTAGAAAATGAACGTCAAGACTATGGCTGTTTCTGTGTGTCCTTACCTTACTCCCAACAGGGTCCATGGGACAGTCATACTTCAGCAACCAGTTATCATTTCCCCTGTCTAGAATGCAAAAAAATGAATAATTCAAATTTAAACAACCCAAATGATCATATACTTTAAAAGCTATGGAAAAGACTGTAATTGACTCTGTATGATAACATCTTAATAACTAACCCATTAAAGTACACATGTTTACTTTGCTGAGTGCATTGCCTGTTATGGTGAAAGAGCCCTGACAGCGCTGCGCAGAGTGACTACATGCCTGTGTTTCTGATGATGTAATCGAGGACTACGAGGCGCTCAAACTGCAGCTGCAGCTGACGGTTGGTGTTTTCAGGCAGAGGCTCCGCTTCAAACCTCCGCAGCCAGAAATCTGCATCCTTGTATCCATCGACGAAGAGCTGGAAGGAGCCAACCTGGTGGGAAAGCAACAGATCAGGGTTTTAATTTCACACATACTGATGTGTGCAGCAACATTCTCTGCATTGGTGTCATGTGTGAATGGGCGCAAGGATATTTAAATAGGCAAGTCGGTTTCTGTTAGTGTAGGACATGCAGAGAAAAGCACGTTAAGAATGACGAAAGGCAGGCAAATCTTCTTTAACGTGGAGCAAGCCAACAAATCATAACTCTCCACTGATGACTTGCTTGAATCTGCAACATATTTACGCTTTTAAAGTAATGTGCGAGTGATTTGACTTATCTCGCAAACTTGTAGTGTATTAAATACATTAAAAGAACATTGGCAAAAAAACAGCACCTAGACCACCATGTTGAAAATAATATGTTTGCTTCCACCAGACAGATACAATAAGGTCCATACTGCGTCTTAAATCTGCATCATATTGAAGTGATTAAGACCTACGACAATTGTACTCCCTTACGTTTGATGGCAGTTGGCATCTATACGAATTGTTGTGTTAAGTATGATAATACAATTTTATAATAATACAATATTAAAAGAGGTACAAAATAATCCTGGATGTAGAGCATACAAGAATGATAAAAAAAAACCTTTGCGGTGCCAGAAATTGGTGATGGAAATGTACCAAGAACTGTATGCGAAAGACTCTTTAGACACATCAAATGTTTTCCCTTCAAATAAATGTTTTTCTTTTATTGAAAGTCCCAGATCACTGGATGAATTGATCAACAATACACATTAAAAAAAATCACCTTAAGTAATACAAGATTTTATCATATTACCTTGGGTGGTAGTCCAATTCTGTGGAAACGCTGGCCCATTTTAGGCACCTTCTCCAGGGCTAGCCTCTTTCCTCTAGACTTCACCCTGTCTATGGCACTGTAGTTGAATGTTTCACTAGCCAAGTAAACCACCTAGAGTGCAAAAGAGTGATTAAGAGAGGCAGTACTTTTCCAAATAGTTAGTTTTTCTGGTGATGCAGAGGCAGCACTGTGTGTGTCCGTACCTTGGTCCTGGGAACGATGTTGAGTTCCAGTTTCTGGTCAACAAGGCTGGCCCCGGCCTCCGAGAGGTAACCCTGGTTCAGGACCAAACAGTCACGGCCAAAACAGCAGGGACAACACAGTTTCTGGAGCCACTTGGTCCACTTTGGATTCAGCAGGCCATAGGGCTCTTCATTTTTAGGTTTGAACACGCCAATGATTTTCTGTGGAGGGAGGCAGAGTGGGGACAATGAGACAGAAAACCAGGAAAGGGAGAGACGACAGAGGATCGGTATCCAAAAGGATTTAAGAAAGGGAACGTTTAGGGATGGGTTTGGTCGAGGAATAAACAACTATATATTTAACTTCCTTGTTATTACTCTCCTCTGCAAACTTGAAAACACATCTGAAACATACAAAGCTCGAAGAAGGACAGTGAATAGGCTGATTATCAGGAAGTGGTTTCAAATGTCACTTCTTAGAAAGTGAAACGTTGTCCATATAAACATTTACTGTAGCTGAAACGAATAGAAGTTGTGCACACACACACACACACACACACACACACACACACACACACACACACACAACACACACACACACACACACACACACACACACACACACACACACACACACCACACACACACACACACACACACACACACACACACACACACACACACACACACACACACACACACACACACACACACACACACACACCACACACACACACACACACACACACACACACACACACACACACACACACACACACACACACACACACACACACACACACACACACACACACACACACACACACACACACACACACCACACACACACAGAGAGAGAGGAAGCACATGACTACTTAGCACACTGGTGACTAAAGAAAGAAAAGCAAAGAGGTGGGAGGGGCATTGGACAAAAAGCTCCCACACACAGCTTAGAATACGTTTAATACTTAGAAAGAAAGGATAAAAAGAAAGGCTCTATAGTTGTCCATGAGTTAATTCACTGATGTTTTTGGAAATGTGTAGCAGTTTGTGAAACTAAAACAAACCAGACATTTGGGATCAGCATCTTATTTTTGATTAGATACTCAAGACGTTGCCCTTTAACCCAGAACTGCAAGACTGGGGAAAGCGAGAAAAATCAGGAGAGACAACGGAAATAATGGATGACACGCATCTTATCTATGAGCTATTGTTGACACACCATAGTGACAGCTGGTGGACCTTCACTTAAAGAATACCTGCCTTAGAAGGATCTGAATAGCAAAGCCACAGTTTCGTTGATAAGATATTTTCATGGGGAGCAAAGCAACAGGATTAGGGAGTAAGGGAATACTAAAATGTGGTGATGATTATGTTTCCAAACAGATGTGGAGACCTGGAGAGTATACACACCTTAAACTCTGGTCATGCTACAAGATGAGTTAGACAACAATGAATACATTTAGCAAGTAATTTATCCAGCTAGTTTGCTCATTTTTTAGATAATTCATTTAAAATGTTCTTTTTATTTAGACATTGCGTATTGTAACTCAATACTTTAAGTGTTATAATACCTTTAGTAATAAATAAACTTGTTATAGGAGTTGGTCGTTTGGTAGTAAATCTCATTCCTCTTGTGTTGGCATCATAGACTGTGTATATAAAGTTGGCACAGCCTATTTGCCATGTCATCCCAGGCTAGTTGGAAGAGGCCTTTGCCTTTCCTAGAAGCGGCCAATACTTTTTTCAAAACAGTCCTGCAGCCATTGCATCACACACACTTTAAACCAGTCATAAGACAGCTACAGGGACAGTTAGCCTGACAGCAACAGTGGGTGATCGGTGTATGCAAGTTAGCAGCTTCTGCTCTTACCCCCTGTGAGTCTTTGACAAAGTAGCTCCCACTGGATCCCTGGTAGATCCTCTCCGGGTAGATGCCCTCCTCGATGGCTCGCTCGGCCTTTCGGATGATGTCTCTGAACTCGGGATCCTCCGGGAACTCGTTCCTGTGCGGCTCCCGCGGCGAGCTGCCCCGGTCCAGGAGCGGCTGTCTCTCCCGGCTGCGCCCCGGACTGCCTGCCGGGATACGGACCACCGAGCCCGGGGTGCTTCCAAACGCGCCCCGGGGGCTGGTGGGCTCTGTGGGACAGTAGCTGAAATCACCCGAGTCCCGGAGCGGAGAGACGAGCGGACTCGTCTCGTCCATGATGTTGGAGGTAAATAAGAAGTTTTAACTCCTGGAGAAGGACAAGAAAGAGAAACTAGGATGAAATAGAAATGGAATAAGACAGTGTGGCCGTTGTTTTGTTGGCTAATACTGAAGCTGGCTAACAAGGAAACACGGAGAAAAAATAAAAGTCAGGTGACTGTCAGCTTCCGGGGAGAGGCGGGACCTGTTGAGTATTTAGATTTTTAACCAATCAGCGTTTAAAAGGTCCTGTCAACAACCTAATCTCTTCCGCTGATTCGTCACAATCATTCAACCCACGGAAGGCACGTGAGAGCACACTTAATTCAATCAATTACCTCAATAAAAATTACAAAACTATGTTGGCCTTATGTCATTTAAAACGTTCTTTCTTTGAAGAAACTCATTCATCTCATTAAGTGTTTAATTATATTCTGTGCGTGTCCCTGGACAATTAAATACTATGTTTAAGAGCAGCTTTCCAATGAGAAACACATGACAAATGCACATTTAGTTGGCAAACTTAAATTGCCCCAATTGAAATGTCCAATGTCACCAATGTTAATATCAAAAGATCTCTAAATGCAGTGTCATACTCAGTTGGCACTTTGATTCTGATTTGAAGTAAGGGTTGTTGAAGGATGTTTAAACCACATGACTTGCTTTGGAAAGAAAATGTGTAATTCAGTCAGTGTTTGTCATAGTTGGGGAAGTCCATCTCACAAATTCATGATGTCCTCATAAATCCTTGTGAGCAAACTGCAAATTAAGAATAAATACTCTTTGATGTCTCTGCCTTATACCGTTAAACGACACCACATTCAAACACATCATTTTCAAAGCTGTTTGTTTGTGTTTGTCAATGTTTGGGGCTATAAATATAAGTCAACTAATACATGAATATGTATAATTATTGTTTAACCTACAGTATATGCTGTATAAAGTAATTAAACATTGCTTCACACACTACAAATTGGCAACAGTAACATTAAAGTGAAAAACACATTGTCACATCACTAATTATCATCCACTGTTATTATTTTTAAATTGGGCTATTTTGCATAATTGGTAGGCTACTTTAATTTCTTGATCTACGCAAATCCTGTGTCGGTACTTAGATTTTGAATACAGGGCAGTTACTTCAAACAAACTACTTTTACACTGTACTTTAGCCTACTATAACATATCTGATACTACCCACAAAAGGCAGTTTTCCAGGCCTGCAGGATGCAGTGCTGGGCGTGTGGACGTGCCTCTGTTCGCATCCTCCTCCTCCTCCGGCAGACACAGCTCGTCCTCTGATTGGTGGAAACCGGCAGGAAGAGAGCTCGTGTCGTGAGATCTGTCAAGTTCGGACAGATCAGCCAACTCCTCACACAAAGTGCCAACAGAACATCCCTTTAGAACCACAAAAATACTGCGCTCGCTTCTTTGTCGCCGTCTTTTGTGTTGGAGCGAAATCAGGACACATCTGCCGGCGTTGCTGCCCCATTTTAACCAGAGTCACTTTTCCCGGAAATACAGCGCAGAGGGCATCGGTGTGAGGATGGCTGCCTACAAGCTTGTGCTGATCCGCCATGGAGAGAGCTGCTGGAACCAGGAGAACCGATTCTGCGGCTGGTTCGACGCGGACCTGAGTGACACCGGAGAACACGAGGCAAAGAGAGGAGGGCAGGCCCTGAAAGGTACCAGATGATGAATGACACACGGCCTAATCGGGTTTTTTCTCTCGGTCATTGGATTAAGACAGGGCTTGTTATGCAACTCTGCTGAATAGGGAGACAACAGGTAGCAGGGCCCACTGCGACAAAGGACGAGCCAGCAGTGACCAATCATCTGTGTTTATTAGGCTGCATGAAGTTATAACAAACTGGAGAATGTAGATGCTGCAAAATGGCTTGATCATACATTCTGGCACTCACTTTCTGAGTCTTTATGTTCTTCGTGTCCTACCTAAGACACTTGCAATATATTTTAGGAATTGCATAATATCCATTGTGTGGTGAATTTATAAAGTAAGTACATGGGGAAGTCATGGTGCCATCCATCTATTAAGAAATATCCAAAAGATTTAACTGGAATTTAGGTACATTTTCAAATGTACAGCACCTACACATCATTTGGATCTAATTTCTTGGATGTCTTGAGGAAAAAGTGAGCAAGCCAGCAGATTCACTTCATTTTGTTGTTGTTTTATCTAATTTTCCCCAGGGATAAATAATGTATACTGATTATAATGATTGGTATTAATTATTTATGTAAACCAAATGTAAATGTGGTCATCTGATGACATCATGATTATTGCTTCAGATCTGTCACTAAGAAAAATGGGGCAATGCCAGACTGCAGAGCAAAGGAGCCTTTGTTATCAGTATAGATTACTGCTGTTGGCTGAGTGAAATGTTGCCATTCACTGAGCTTCACAGTGTTTTATTTAATGTATTCCATTTCTTGTGACCCAAAGATCCTCTGCAGGCGCGTCCTGCAGAGCCCCCAGCCTGCCAGTGTCCCCTGGTGTAGCCCTGCCCCTGACTAAGCAAAAGCAAAAGATGTTGCGAGAGAAGCAATAAACAATGCTGATGTTTCCTTTGTGTTAAAAGACACATTTAATGTGTATGCTGCCCTGCTCTCACACTTCAATGAAACCTCTCTCTTTTCACATCTTGTCTCTGATCATTTCAGACGCCGGCTATGAATTTGATATCTGCTACACCTCTGTCCTTAAGAGGGCCATCCGCACCCTATGGTTTGTTCTGGACAGCATCGATCAGATGTGGCTGCCCGTCCACCGGACCTGGCGCCTGAATGAGCGCCACTACGGTGGCCTGACAGGTCTGAACAAGGCTGAAACAGCAGCCATACACGGAGAGGCGCAGGTCAAGATCTGGAGGCGCTCCTTTGACACTCCTCCCCCATGCATGGATGAGGGGCATGACTTCTATCAGTCCATAAGCAAGGTGGGAGCACTGGAAAACATGTTCTGTCTTACATGCAGACATCTTTATCACGTCAGTGTAAGGCAACACAATTGACAACGTTCTTCTTCTGTTGTAGGACCGCCGTTACTCCGACCTGACAGAGGACCAGCTTCCCAGCTGTGAGAGTCTCAAGGACACCATCGCCAGGGCTCTGCCTTTCTGGAACGAAGAGATCGTTCCTCAGATCAAAGAAGGAAAGAGGGTGCTGATTGCTGCCCATGGCAACAGTCTCCGAGGCATCGTCAAGCACCTTGAGGGTAAGAGACAGAGCAGATACTTTTAAGCCACTTCCCAGTGCCATATGTGTATACCCTATGTTAAAGTCAAGCATTGAAGATGTTATTGTTTCTCACAATAGCTACAGTGTTGTTGTTCCAGGATTCTCCAACAGTGGAACATACAATATTCCAAAGCCATAAAGTATAAGGAATTAATTTGCACTCATAAATACCCCTCAAATGATCCAACATTGAATAAATTAGTTTTGGAAAAAATTAAACAATTTGAAATGAATATTTTTTTATGTTATTTATTTCTAACTTATACAGGAAAACCTTAAGGTTTATCATAAACTAATGCATGGGTGCTTCATTGTTTGTATTTCACTAAATAGGGTGTTCACTTAAAAAGATGTGCATCCTATCTGTGATGCAAAAAAGATTAAACAAAATGTAAGGTAAAGTGATGAAAATATGTTTCTATGTGAATTTAACAGATTATTGAGTTGCAATTATTTTTTGAATGATCATTAAAGGTGGGGTAGGTAAGTTTGAGAAACCGGCTCGAGATACACTTTTTGTTATATTCCATGGAATGCTCTTAACATCCCGATAGCAATGAATATCTTAAGTGCTTTGACAAAAAATCCATAAAAAAATGTCATCTGTGGAAGGCGTAATACTGTAAAAAGTACGACCAATCATTTTAGCCGGCCCGGCTAAAATAACTGGATGGCCTACCTGCCTGTCAGCCTTCCATCTGTGCACAAACTTATCTCGTGCCCTCATTGGTCATGTCCGCGTTCGTGTGTGTTGGAGGAGGGGCTCTATAAGGAAGTGGCAGATTTTCTCCGGTTGTGTATTTTCAAATTCTAGCGATCTCAAGCCGGTTTCTCTAACTTACCTACCCCACCTTTAAGGAATGATTATGTTAACTTTCTTCAGACCATTGGAAAGGATTAATGCACAAGGGACGTGCGTAAAAGTGCGTTTGATGATTAGATAACTTGCAAATATAACCGTCATCTCTGTGTCAAGGTAATTAAATAGAATACTTTGCTGACCTCAGCTCATGAGAACCTGATAAACTACTTGAAATAAAACTGTTATGTCTAAGTCTGATGAGATTTTTAAAAGCATTTCAATGCAAATAAACCCTAAACTCTGAATATCTGTTACTTTTTACAAGGTATGTCCGAGGAGGCCATCATGGAGCTGAACCTGCCAACAGGTATCCCCATCGTGTACGAGCTGGACAAGAACCTGAAGCCTTTAGGACCCATGCAGTTCCTGGGGGATGAGGAGACCGTCAAGAAGGCCATGGAAGCTGTGGCTGCTCAGGGCAAAGCCAAGAAATAGACCCCCTTTCCTCTGGATGAGCTAGAGCACAGATCAATCATGTGTTTTTCTGTTATTAATTTATTACCAAGTCAATTACTGTTACCGTCATTACAGACACACGATGTGCACTTTATTTTGATGACACCCAGCTTTGGCACACTGAATTAGTCTTTACTTTGTGAAATACTGAAACACACATGTCAGTATTACATAGTGGATTTCAGCTATAATATGGTTTAACTATTGACCAAAAAGCAAATTTCGGGACCAGCAAATATGAGCAAACATAGACTAACCCTGCAGAGTCACCCCGTGTAATCATTCCTATTTCTGATCCGTGTAGGTGAAGCTCAGATGGAGCAGTATAACCTATAAAGAAACACTGGCTGTTGTTAAAAGGGCAGGTTGACATGATCTGCACTGCTGATATATGTTTGCTGTGGCATTGTGAGAAAATAAATAAATGTTGTGAACCATTATATTATGTTTAATCTGTGTCCAACATAATTTTCTTGCATAAATGTCCCCTATGTTTATGAATAGTATAGTTAAAGAGTTGGTTGGGTTAAGTCCCTCAAAAAAGAATACTCAATAGGTTTTGTTTTAAAGGAAGACTACCTACTTACATGCAAATCTTTTCAGGTTTTTATTTTTAGGGTACTATGCTAAATTCAGAGAGACTTATCGATTCTGTAACCGTTCTTTGCCATGCTTCCCCCCTAAAATAAATAGTTGTATTCCTAATCACACTTCAGTGCATGTCCCATATTAATAAGCAAAACCAATCAAATTAGAATATTGCTATTGCTTTCACAATTGTCATTAAAGACAGTACTTGATGTAATTCAAACTATGTATTATTAATGTATATAACATTATTAGTATTAATAATGTTAGAAACTGTTACCGTAGAAGTAGGTAACAGTCCTTATGTAATATATTTAATGTGTGGATGGTTCTGCTTTGCTGCGTCTCTTGCGTTGACATGTGCTCATGTTTGCCTCAACAAAAATGGCCGACTGAGCCGTCCTGCTTCCGCTCAGCGTGACACAGACCAATCAGAATCGACTCAAGGTCTTCGTCACAGCCAATCGACTGGAGGATCTGCTCTTCTCGAAAACATGTCGCCCATGAAGCTGTGTGTTCCAGGTGAGTCCCGTAAATGTAATTTTACTAACACTTAGGATGTAGTTAAACCAAGCTTTGGAACATGTTGTCCTCTTGTGTCAATGGTGCCTTTAGTAAATGTCGCTATGGTCCTAGAAAATATAGTCAACGATGCAGTTTGACAGTGTTAAACTCCGTTAATTATTCCCAGCTGCCATAAGTTGTTTGGGTTTTGGATTCTAGCACAGAAAACGTTACCTTTTAGTTTCTTGTAAAACTGTGGCTCGTATCAGATGACGGATATGGTCAGTTGGGCTTTAATATTTAAGAAAAATAAATGTAAGTATACCGTACTTCTGGCTCAGATCTGTGAGACTTTTACTTTCTACAGCATTTCATCTTCTGACCTGCCCATCGCCCCGGGCATACAGCAGCATTCCTTCTCACACTTGTTTTGACTCACCCATGTAACATGCTGAGTTATATTGTGCAGAAGGAAATGTCAAAAAAAAATATGCTTAAAACCCAGCAATTATTTGAGGTCTGACCTTATTGACTCTTTAAAGTTGCGTAGAAACACCAGAAATATAAAGTAGATACATGTGTTTAGTGTGTCAGTCCCACAGGATTTCATGTCATGTTATGCCTAAGTGGAGTTACTGAAAGAGACAAAATACGTTTTTTTAAGAGATTAATAACTGTCCTCCTTTAGAGGATGTTTTTTTTCTTCTTCTCAAAGTAAAAATATCACATATATATATATATACTCGTTTTATTTTTGGTATTTGCTTTGTGAAAGCACTACTTTGGTATTTTACTCCCTATGGTTGATATTATTCCTCACAAAACTGTATAATGTATTCAGATTCTAGCGGTGATGGTCCACCTCCACTTTTAGAAAGCTGACATAAGACCTTTTCTCCAACACTGTCTTTATTTTTCCCCTTTATTTTCATCCCTAGGTGACAAGCTATGCAGCACAGAAGACTGTATTCCCGGCACAGGAGTTTATCTGCGACACGGCTGCATTTACTCCTCACTAACAGGCTATGTGCTTAAGAAAAATGAAGGAGAGGAGGTAAGGGGTGTGTCTGTGTAGGAGGGAGGTAGGGGAAGCTGCAGAAGCAATGGAGTGCCAGAGTGTTGTGCAACATTTGTGAATGTGAATGAAGGAACAAACATATTTCTCTTCATTCACAAATGTTGCGCAACACTGGTGAAATGGCAACTATTTTTAGAACGACAGGTTTATTCCTCGGGCTGTTTTTTAACTTCAACAATAACTGAAATGCTGTTTGCAATGTGTCTCTTTTAAGTTACCAGTGATCTCGGTTGTAAGGGAAACAGAAACACAACTACTACCAGATGTAGGAGCTATAGTCACCTGTAAGGTATGCAGTGGAATCTGATACTATTTAGCGATGATTTATGATCTGATTGTGATCCTTCATAGCTTGGATTAAGATCTGTGGTTTGTCTCAAGCCTAACTGTTTTTTGCTTGGACAGGTGACCAGCATTAACCCCAGGTTCGCAAAAGTCCACATCCTTTATGTAGGCTCCACACCGCTGAAGGACCGCTTCAGAGGAACAATCAGGTAAACTGCCCCTCTATAGCATAAAGCTGCGATCTAAACCTCCAGCTAAAGAAACAATGTCTTCCAGACAGCTACTGTCCTCATCAACAAGTCTGGGACAATCACTGTCACAGTCTTATCTCCTCCCACTGACACTGTGCGTTACCTTAAAGGGGCCCTATTGTGCTCTTTTTCAGGTTCATATCTGTATTTTGTGACATGTTTACATGCTTTAAAGTTCAAAAAGGTCTCACACTGCCTGTGCTGCAGCACCTCTTTTCACCCTCTGTCTGAAACCAGAGCCCAGTCTGCTCTGATTGGTTATCTGGCCGGCTCTGTTGAGATGGGTTTACTGCTTAGAGATGTACCGCCCCTTAGCCTATCACGTACAATGTGTCAGAGTGCTAGCCAATAGAAGCGTGAGTGTTACGTAGTGATGTCACTATGTTATGTAAGTAAACAAAGGAGTACAATGGAGCGGTTTCAGGCAGCGGGGGGGGGGGGGGAACTTTCGGAATTTAACCTCTGCAGACCATTTACATGCACGTAAACCTATATAACACACTACAGGGCTGGGAAAAGCAAAAAAAGCATAATTGGGCTCCTTTTAATTTAATTTAACGTTACCTTTCTCATACTTCGAACAGTGAAACCTTTGCAAATTGATCTGACTATCGTTCACATTTCTGCACAATAATACCACTTTTGAAAACCGCACAGTTCTTCCACTTTTAATTCAGGTGTACTGTACATTTTTTTCACATTATTTTGCCATGCTTATTTTTTCTTACTGTGTTTATGTATGGAACATTGTACACCAAAGCACATTTCTAGTGTGTGCAAACCTACTATTTGATTCTTATTCTGAATCCTGAAACTGTCTACATAGTGAAATAAGGTTCTCTCTGTGTCATTCTTAAAACTGAGCCAATTCTTTCTGACTCTACAGGAAAGAAGATGTGCGTGCCACAGAGAAAGACAAGGTGTGTTTTAATCCATGATTTCAATCAGATCATTAGATGTTTACTTATTTAAAAGATGACATGCTTAGCGTTAAGCTTTTGTCTTTATTGTTACAGGTGGAGACGTACAAAAGCTTCAGACCTGGCGACATCGTCTTGGCCAAAGTTGTATCCTTCTCTCGGGTCTAAGACGCATAAGTAACAATCTCAAGAATGAAATTATTTGAGAGCTATGCAAAGTATTTAGCTCGCCTTTTGTTTTCATCCTTTAAACTCTGAATGACTGGGATAGTAAACAAAGAAGTCTTGTTCTCTGTTATTACTCTCTCTGGGGGCGTGACACATGCACATTGTTACTTTTAAAAACCCATCAAAACTGCTTTGGATATTCACTGTGAGTCAATTTAAAAGATCAATGCATTAGTGTAGATGTGTGCTGTTTACTATCTGTTGTTAACCCTTGACCTGTGTCAGATTTCTCTCGGAGACGTGCAGTCAAACTACCTGTTGACAACAGCAGAGAACGAGCTGGGGGTGGTGGTGGCACACAGTGAAGCAGGTAACTTTCAAAAAACAACCTTTTTATTTTCCACTTCAAAACACAGCACTGCACAGATTGAACGTATCTTGTTTGAACACCAGGTGGTGCAAGACAACTGACCTGATCAGAATCAGAATAAGCTTATTCATCCCACAGAGGGGAAATGTACATTTGTTACAGCAAGTAAAGAGCCAAATATAGCTTAATATCACTCAAGGAGCATGCATAACAAATATTAAACGATAAAAATAGAAATTGCACAATTTACAAAATACACATCCAGTACCAGTAACTGTTTTGAAAATATAGCAGCCAGGTGAAAATATAAAAAGTGGAAGTATATATTGTACAGCTATTTATGGTAAATATATATTGCACATAGGTAGTATTGCACTACAGGGTTGTTATAGTCTTTGTTGTTATATGTGTGTGATAAACTTGACAGTTATTGTCACAAATATTTGCAAAGTGAGTCGTATTTATCAAACATTTGCTGTTACAGTTTGGCAGAAGTTTTGTAACTGTTTTTAGTAACCAAGCAGTTTTATGTAGACATGTAAGAAAAGAAAATGACATGAGGAACAGCTTTCAATCCAAGGAAGTGACAAAATGAGTGACATTTAAAGCTACAGAAGTGTTGAATGCCAGACAGCTACCGCAGACAGAAAAGTTTGATTCAAGGATTTAAATCAAGGTCAAGGTTTTTGAAAAGAAAATATGGGTCATTGTACGTGCTTGAATTTATATAATTTTGTAATCTATTGAAATGTCATTGTCTGTTACTTTCTGTAAAGCCTGCTACATTTCATTCTTAAAGTTCTCAGGGTTTTTAACAGTAATTAATCTTGATTCTTGTCCCAAACTATGTTGTTATGTGAAGGAACTTTAGAGAATTGGGCCTGGAAAGTTCTGAATTAGATTTTTAAAAAGGTGTATGAACCCATAATTGAATATGTATATTGCTGTGGACACTGATTATAGAATATATTGTCTCTTATTTTACCACACTTTGTCTTTGTGAATCAGGTGCCCAGATGGTTCCCATCAGCTGGTGTGAGATGCAGTGCCCGCAGACGCACAGCAAAGAATTCCGCAAAGTGGCGCGAGTGCAGCCGGAGTTTCTTCAGGCATGATGAGACGACAGATTATATCACAAGGAACACACAGCTTCACCTCTCTCTTTCACTCACTGACCTAACAGCCTCGCAACTCTGTTATAGATGTTTCTTTCTGAAAGATTTTATTTGGCTACTTCTATTTTTGTATAGCTCTCTGGACATGGTGTCATAGTTTGATTGGTCCAGCTGGAATACACTGAATCAGCATCAGGCATATTCTAAACTATGTAGTGACGGTTGTTAGAGACATTTTTCGCTCAGTGCACGCATCAGCAACATTAGTTATTAAAGTTGCCTTTCAATTGCTTGATGGCAACCCTGGCTGACAGAGTGACTTTGCAAGTGTCCACTATGTTGAAAAGCACAAGTAAAGAAAGGTCTATTTCACAAAGGCAGCATTTACTCAGTTTTGCGGCCGATCATCTAGTGACTCTGAGGATGAAGCAGTTGGTGCAAACACAGACTTGTAACCAGAAATTCTTTAAAATGGCTGTTATTGGTCTGAAATTATGAGGATTTAACCAAAATTGCTGCACTTTGAAATGTCTTTTGCATGATGTCATGTTTGCAACCTTTATTTTGTACATTAAAGGGACACAAACATCCTTTCCAACTTCTGGAAAATGTTGTCTGCAGCAGAGGGGAGTGATATGATTGAGAGCCTAATGTGTAATCAGCGTCACAGCTGGACTAACCGCCCATGTTAGTCAGATATTTCTCTTGGTTTACAGAAGATTGTCAAAATTAAATGAATGAGCCGACAATATGTAAACAGAAATGTTTCCATTCTGTCTGGAAGTTTGCAAAATAAAAAACTATAAAAGCCATTAACGCGAGTTTCCTCTTTTTACCCACACTGATGCAAGGGAAGTTATTTTGTATTCAGTAATGAACTGTGCCATATTGTACATTTCATCAGTTTCTAATATTCAACTAACAGAAAAATCACTGATGTGATGGGAGAAAAATTACATCAGTTAAAAACACCTTTAAGGTGAAACAATTGTTTTAAACATTCATACCAGCTGTTGTTGTGACCTACTGAAATCACATCAACAATTGTTTTAAACATTCATACCAGCTGTTGTTGTGACCTACTGAAATCACATCAACTCTCAAGTCTAACAGTTGCTCAGTTACAATCTTTTCAATAAAAACAGTCCACTTCATCAGGCAGGAAGATGTTCAATATGTACAATGGCAATTTGTTATAATATTATTTTGTGATACGTCTACAACGTTTGCACAACCATACACACATGTTTTCAAGATTATATCCATTCACATACACATTTGGATCAATCATCAAAGCGAACTGATCGGCTTGAATGGATGTCAATGAAGAACTTCTTGTTCGAAGCTGGAGTGAACCCGAGTCCTGTGCCCCTGTTACTGAAGTCAATCCTACGCGACTGTGCACGTTCAAACTCTCCCACAAGCCCTTGCTGCAGCTGTTCCTGTGCGCCCTTCCCCAGCGCCATGTTTGCCGCCCCGCTGCTGTCCGATGCCGGCTGGAAACCCTTTTTGAAGCCGCCCATCAACCGGAGGAACTTCTGCTGCTTCTCAGAGCTGTTGAACTCTGCGGTGCTCCACTGGCCGAGGCCCTGAGAGAAAGAGTGAGAGATATTAAAAACTGAAGCACTAAGGAGCTCTCTACTGGTTTTACCCGTAATTGTTTGTCAGCAGGAGTAAAACTCGATCTATGAAAATGGTTTTAAATGTCTTCTGGAGGAGTTTTCTAAAGTCTGATAAAATAACCCTGATGATGTTCAGATATTCTCAGAGATTAAATTGGTTACATTTCAGGAAAAACACTCACAAAAAGTCACGACAAAACTGGATCAACGTAATAATCGCACAGGAATGCCACAAGCGTACGTTTAGTAGGGAGCTGAAACAATATGAGATATCCTTTTTCATCCAATCAGTATTGTTTTTTCTCTAAATTCACCACACCCACAGCAATAGCTTCTCCAGGTCTGAATGCTAATGAAAATGTGGTGATTATGGGCTAAAATCTCAAGTTTTCCCTCATTGTTAAATCTGATCGCAAAGTATAATTTGATTAGGTAATCTACGACAAGTGGCTTCCTCTGGTGTGTGATGAGGATGATCCAACTCTGCAAAGTAGGGCAATGTTTTTTTTAGGTCCTATTTATGTATAACCCTAAAGCACTGGAGTACCCTTTTAAAAGAAAACCAGCTAAAAAGGGACATCCCAGAGTTTAATTTCTCTACAAAAAGCAAAATGACATACCGTTGGTTTGGCTGGAGGTTGGGAGGCGTTGTCGACTTCCATTTGTAAAGACTGTCTTCTTTCCTGTGACAAAAAACAACACACTTTATTAACAGTTATTGTGTTACTGACATATCAAGTAGTTAACTGATTTATTAAAAAAAAAGTTCTCTAAAAATGTAATACAGATTGTTTTGCAGTTACATGAGGAATGCAACTTCTCTCATGTTTGTATAAATATGAAATTCAGCCATGTTTCTCTCCAGTGGATTAAACAAATTACACATGTGTCACTATAATTTGTTTTATGTTTATTTAGTTTTACCTTTGGATAACAGCCGGTTAGCTGTTTTCAGTCTTTGTGCTAAGCTAACTGGCTGTTTACACTAGCTTTATATTTACCAAGCAGACATGGCAGTGTTATCCATGCAATCAGCGAACTCTCACCAAGAAAGTGAATAAGAGTATTCACAGAAATTCTATCCACAGCAATAAATATCAACCCACTGACAGACTAACTAGAGCCCTGTTTACCTGGTTGATGTTGACCTCATCAGTGTTTCCTGTTTTCTCGGACAGGAAGACCACGTCCAGGACGTTGTGTGATTCCTGACACACAACAAAACACAAAAAAGGTTCACTCCCGATGTAAAAACATAAAACATTAGAGCATGATATCAATCACTTCTAAGAACCCACACTCACATGTTGGTCTTCCGACTCTTCTTTAATCTTCTTCTTTTTCTTCTTTTCGGCACTAGTTAAAGAACTCACATTCTCCACCGGGGTTTCCTCTTCAGTGGAGCCTTCCTTCTTCTTCTTTTTGCTCTTCTTTCCTGCAGGTTCACTACAGTGCTCCTGAACTTCTTCACATTTGAGTTCTGATGCTTCTTCCCCCTCTCCCTCTCCCTTTCCCCTTTTCTTCTTCTTCTTCTTCGGCTCTGTGTCCTCTACTTCACTGACCTCCACAGAAGCTTTTCTACGCTTTTCTTTTTTGGTCTTTGGCTCCGTCTCAACTTCGTCGATGACAATAATCTCACTCTCTGCAGATTTCTTTTTCTTTTTTTCGTGTACCTTTTCTTCTGATGCTTCTTTGCTCTTTTTGTTGTTAACTTTGTTTTGGATTGTTCCTAATTCACTTCCATCTTCTTTACTATCAGCCGACTTTTTTCTCTTTTTTACCTTAGCCTCTTCTCCCTCTGGTGTTTCCAACATCACTCCATTTTTTTCCACTTTGGACTTTTTATTTGTTGTGTCACCATCTACAGGTTCAATGGTTTTCTTTTTCTTTCCTTTAACTTGCTCCTCAATCTCCTCTGTACTTACTACTAAAATGTTTTTTCGCTTCTTGGCTTTCTTCTTCTTATCCTTTACACCATGCTTTTCTCCCTCCTCCTCATTTTCTGATTTAATCTGCTCAGACTTATTTTTGGCTTTCTTTTTCTTCTGTTTCTTTTCTACTTCTTCTTCTTCTTCTTTCACTGAACTGAACTCTTCCTTTTCCACCTGCTTCTTCTTCTTTTTACTGATTTGATTGTCATTTTCTTTCTTGGTGTCAGAACCATTGACACCATTTAGAGATTCAGAAACAACATTCTTCTTTTTTTTCTTCTTCTCTACTTTGTCACCACCTCCATCCGAAGACTCCTCTTCTGAATCTATAACAATAATATCAACTTTTTTACTTTTCTTTTCCTTCTTTTCTTTTTTCATAACAACTTGGCTCCCATCTTCATCAGTTATGTTGTTATTTTCCAGCGGAGAGGCTTTTACTTTCTTGTTTTTCTTCTCCTTCTTAACACATTTCTCCTGACTCTGCTCTTCTTTCATCCTAATGTTCCCCCTTTCTCTCTCCAAGGCAAAAGACCGCTGGCTTGTCTGGTGAAAGAAATACAATTACGGTAAGACAATACCTTTGAGAATAGATTAGGCTCTGTGTGTGACTAACGGAGAAATAAATACTAACCAAGGGTTTGGCTGAGCTGGAACAGCTTATCAATGTCTTTTTGCAGGGCCAGTCACTTTACCTGCAGGGTAGAGGGGAATTGTGTTAAAATGTTTATAATTTTAGTTTGAATGCAACAAATACTATTACTGTTATCCATCAGCAAACTCATTTTTCTAGATAATACATGTATGTGTCAGACAATTGAAACACTGCACATGTGCAACTTTTTTACAGGTTCTACTTATTTATTAACTGTAAATTGTTTATTATTCAAGATTCAGTAACGCTTAGAGTTGTATTAAAATACCTACATTCATGTACATTTCTCAGGTTGTGTAAAACATGAACAGGTTGTTGTGTTGTTATTTTGTTTGCCTTCCCATTAAATTAACATGCTTTCAGTGAGTGAACACATCAATGTCAACAACCCTTAAATCAAGAAAGGACATCAAGTTAAGATTGAACAAATCCAGAATAATAATATTGCAAAAACACCACTTTTAGGCAGAATAAGATCACCACGTTTATTTTTAGCACTCTCTTACTACACCATGCTAGCTGGCAGCTAACAGCAGCAGCGAATGTTGAATTGTTCAAAGTAGTTAAAAGGTTAAACCGATAAAGAAACAAACTAAACAGTCAGCCAGATGGTAAGACTATTTACCATAGCTGAACAGTTCATTATGAAACGTTAACTCGATGAGCTGTTAACTTACTTTGCACTCTTTGATAATTCACGTGGATACCAGTGTCCTCTCTTCACCCGGAAGTAGTTCCCCCCGTTTCCTCTTAGCGACGAGCATGGTTTCCGTTTGATTGATTGATTGAAAAGTTTATTAACAGCTTGTATATTGGGTACAGTACAGTACAGCTCAAAACATACAATTGTTAAGGGGATGCAGACCAGAGAAAGACTTTCGTCTTGTTTACATCAGGGTCCCCCATTTCCAATTCATCATATCATTTAAGACATATAAGACATATTTGACATACAGATGGCTTATTTACAATTTACATACAGGTGGATTTTTACATACAGATGGCTTATTTACAATTTTCATTTTAGATTTCGTTCTAATACATCCTAACCGGACATTTAAGACATACCAAGTCTACAGATATACAGTTAGTAACAGAGTCTAAAATGCGAGTATATACATAGATGGGGGGGGGGGGGGGGGGGGGGGGGGGAAGCTGTCCATTGTACGACAGGTTGAGATTTGTACCATTACCGGGTAGCAACGAGTGCCCAAAACTAAATTCAACAGGTATGTTAATGTCATTTATTTTATCTTATTTCGGTTGTATTTCTCGGTTTTACTACCATATACTATTTATTTATTGAAATGAGTAACTCGTAAACGTGTGTAGCAGGTGCAGAGTTGGGTGTAACGTAATAATTACTATTACTGTAATAATATTACTTTTGTCGGTAACGGAGTAGTGTAACGCGTTACTTTTATAATTCAGTAATCACACTACAGTTACTAACATTGCCCCGACACGCGTTACTTCGTTACTTTTATAAAATCAGTCATAATCACACTGACAGACAAGGAGAGAAGAGGGGTTTCCGCCGCAGGTTTATATGTACGTAATCTGCGCGACTTGCGCGTCCACATCTCCACGTGCAGTGCTGCATAAACATGGCTGAGTCAGCGATAACTTTCGAGGGGTGGAGGTATGCCCAGTACTCGAGTTGAGGGGGGATGAGGGGGGATGGCATCCCCCCTGAAATAAAAATGGTCAAAATCATCCCCCTTCTAAAACTGCCATCCCCCCTTTCCATCCCTTATGTTATTTTATCAATGAACGTGGCACTGGTATTACTGCTATTTCAACATTCATTTTGCGCATATTGAGTAAAATACTGTGGGCGAGGGAGCACGCACACATGCAATGACATTTTTACCAAGTCACTGACGCTATGCTATGCGAGTGCCGTGATGTGCCCGTTTGATTGATGCCAGAAGCTGCATAGCAGCACTAGCGCAGGTAACGGTTATCACAATGGCCAAGCGACCAGGAGGACAACGCAATCTGAGGGACTTCATATTTAAAAAGACTAAAAATAACATTTCAGGTAAGTCAAGAGTCAGTAATCTTAGTCATTACCAGTGGCGACTGGTCATTAGGGGCAGGTGGGGCACAGCCCCACCTAGTGTCAGCAGAAAGTATTACACATAATGATTACAAAAAATGGAAAGAGATGCAAAAAAAGAAATAAAAAAATATATAAAATATATTTTAAGGTCATGTTTAATCATCTGATTCGTCTGTACATTGCTGTTTTAGTCTGTGTTCTTCTAATTAGTGTCTACAGTGCCGTTTTGAGCCATGTGGGACAAAACCTGATCATGCCCCACCCTTTCACTGTCAAAGTGAACGGTGACTGTAAAAACTACACTGCGCATGCTCAGAGTATTTTTCAATGTAATGTGTGTGGCAAAAAAAAAAACACCATAGGGGCACAGAGCTGCCATCCCCACCATACGTCATCTCACATCATTCAGAGCTGATTGGCTGTAAGTACGTGTGCCGCGAAAAGTGTGGTGTGTGAAGAGCATGGATGTATAATAAGAGGAGACGAGAGCTGCAGTGACGCGTCCTAAAACCAGGAAGTAAGCTGCAAAAAAGCAATGAGGTTTCTCTATAGGATTTTAGAAAATAGCTTGAAATAAGATCTGTGGGAAACGTACCTGTTAGATAAATGCACGTTTTGTTCAGCCGGATAATATCCACATGTCTACCCCACTTTTATCATTTTCGAATCATAAATCTATCGATTAGATTTATGATAGACTTTTGAAACTACAAGATGATAAGGAGGACTTTTACAAAAAAGTTATAGAATTTTTTGTCCAGAAGGATAGGCAAATGGACTTCATCTTCAAGTCAAGGTAAGACCGCAATTTTTTGAAAATGGGATCTTACTTAGAGAGAACAATTCAATATTTAAATGATCAAATTACATTTTTTGGGTATCCTTTTGTTGAACTGTCTGTTTAAAATTAATCGAAGCATCAGACAAAAAAAGCTTTTGAAAATAATATTATATTTTGGTTTAGGTCAAAATATAAGATTTGTAAACCTGAAGAGTCAGTGCCAGTGTCTCACCAGCCATGAACCTCACTGCACGTCACTGCAGAAGCTTATATATAGACATCTAAGTTTTTTGTGCCCCACCACTTTTGTACATATAAAAACGCCACTGGTCATTACTCATTACTTTAGTCACCAAAGGTGGAATCTATGGACATAAGCAGCAATAACAACTTAGTTTGGAGTTTAGCTACGTTTTTCTCTCGTGTTAGCTAGCTGGTAAGACTCAAAACTGTTGATGAAATGATACCACCAGCACCAGAAGAGCTGAAACCCCTCCTTCAAGCAGTGAACACTCTGGTCATCTCCACAGCTGAGTGTGAACGTGGGTTTAGTCAGATGAACATGTTAACCACAACTAGAAGCTCCCTAGAGATAAAAAGCATGTCAACCTTGCTTTTCATCAAGTGTGTTGGCCCTCCACTGAACAAGTTCAGACCAGATGTATATGTCAAGACTTGGCTTCAAAGCCATTGCTTAGCTAACAATCCGAAAGCAAGAGCCAGAAAAATTTAGACCAAAAAGCATGATTATGAAAATCTTTGGAAACTTCTATGAGATGGGGGAGAGTGGAGTAGGCAGCCATTGACAACATTGGTCCTATTTTGTATTATCTGTATAATCTTTTAATATATTTTCATATTTTGTAAACAATTTCAATTTGCACTTAATGCCCTGTTAAAAAAAGTAACATTGGGAATGTTAAAGGGCCCATGTCATGGCCATCTCCACTGATCATAATTACATTGTTGAGGTATACTAAAATAGATTTATACTGTGCAATTTTCCAAACTCACATTGGTTTCGCATACAGCATCTCTGTCAAGCATGTGTATTCAGCAGTATTCACTCTCTCCACTAAACGACTCGTTGGAGCTCTTGCCCCCCCCTCCCTGTGAGCCTAGTGTGCTCCGATTGGTCAGCTCGGCCACTCTGTTCTGATTAGTCAACCACCAGAGAGGCTGCGCCCATGTCTAAACGGCTGCTCTCAGCCGAACATCAGTCTTATCATGGCGTCGGTACAGCCGTATATTTTATACGCAAACTAACCGAACTGTAGCTACAACTGTTGTTATAGAAGAGTGTGACGGCCCCAGGGCCTTTGTCTTACGATGGGGTGGAGCTGAAGAGGCTAATCAGCGCGATCACGGACACCTGGCCGGAGCCGAGGTGCTAGCCAGCTGCCCGGAGTCAAACAGCAGCCCCCCTCTCCCTCCAAGCAGCTCAGCAATCCTCTCCCCCTCTCTCTGCATTTACCACAATAAATGTGCCGTGGTTTTGTAAACTCGTGTATGTCTCCTTGTCTTTCCGTTGTGGCCTACGAGCCGGTCATAACAAAGAGTAAGTTATTTTTACCCGTTATAAACTACTACTGTTTGATGAGAAATCAAATCATGGTTTGCTATATGAATGATATGTTATAGGAGCAAATAATTCAGGGAAGAAAGGATAGGCCTACTAAGTATTTCCATTAAACTTTATTTTTAGAAATGTACAAAATGAACGTAAATATACATATATACACGGTATATCGTCAATTACTCCTCGTTGTCGGCATCTTGCTTATAGCAGCCGGGGCTTTTTGAGACGATGCCTCAGTGTGGTCGTCCAGTCATGTATTTTCCGGCAGGATCTGGCTGGACGAAATAAAATGCAAATCACAAAATATTAGAGAAACTTAGTTGTTTTAGATTCGTTAGTAGTAGTTGTGGTAGGAGTGTGGATATATCTAATGAACAGCTTGCCTGCTAATATGCTAACCTAGCTTTGTTTACCTTGGTAGCTAACACGATATGAACGTTAGCTTGGAGTAACGGAGTGTAATAAAACTACTATGAACAAAAGTTAGTGGTTCATATTAGGCTAGCAATAACGTGTTTATAATTGCATTATTCTACGGGTAGTCTGCTACGTTCGGTCATACAATGTTTCCCGCTAGCATGTATAGCTAGCCTCGTTAGCTATACATGCATAGCTAGCCTCGTTAGCTATACATGTACTGTCACAATGTACGGTAAATCACCCGGAGTATACTGTATGAGTATTCCGTGTGTGTGACTGCAGACATTCTCCTGCCATGACAAACATGTAAGGCCATCTGCTGACATTGTAGTTGATATATTTAAACGCTAGCAACGTAGCATAACAAAAATGTTTTTCCGACCAAACTAAGGTCTAGCTCCGTCGGTAGATCGGTAGCATACACGCTACGCCAGCTATAATGTAATTACGTTTCGCGACTGACCGAACGGTAAATCACCAGGAGTATACGGTCTATGACTATTTCGTGTGTGAATGCAGACATTATCCAGCTATGAGGAACATGTATGTAAGGCGATCTGCTAATATTGGAGTTGATATATGGAAACGCTAGCAACTTAGTTAGCACAGTTAGCACTGGCTTAGCAGTCCGAAACATGTTTACACATTTAAACAGTCGTGGTAGCTACCTTGTTTGATAAATACACAAATAACAATGCAAACTTACAGGTTGTGTACCCAAATCTTCCCCTGCTCCAAATAGTCCAAACAAGCTGTGCATATCCGGCCTCAAACTGGGCAATGTTTTGGAAGCTTTCGTCTGTGAAATGCCGGTTCTTCGAACCTCTGGAGGAACAGTGTTAAAAAGAAATTTCAACCACTGACTTCGTCGTGGTTCTTCTGTCGGTAGGACAAACAGCTCAGATTTCTCCTCACATTTCAGGAAACAGGTCCTTGGCAGTGGCATGACTGGATCGATTGTGAACTGAACCAGAGCTTCCAACAGTAAATGTTAGGCTGGCAGAGGGTGCGGCCAGCACCGCTGGGTGTGGCCATAGCTCTTCGGGATTGGTCCATTTCGTTCCGGGTACCGCATGACATCAGGCCGTACCCGGAAGATTCAAATGGGCAGTGACGTATCTCCAACGAGGCGTTTTGGGGAGGTATTTTCTGTGTTAGAGGTTTACTCGCTACAGGGTGTACTTTGAGGGTTTTGACTCTGCACACCGTTTACATGCATAAAAACCTTCATAACACACAAGGGGACGGGTAATAACCGGAAAAGCATGACATGGGAGCTTTAACATAAAAGATTTGTATTTGAACTGCAATAAAATGATGACGGATCAATTTTGTTCTAATTTCTTTCCTCAATTTTCTCATGAAGTTTCACATTTACATAATGATTGAATTAATCACGATACAAAATTAACCCTTTAGATACCAGTTTTGATCGTATACCAGTATATGCTTTTTTGAAAAAATACACTATAATTCAATATTCTAAAAACAAATTTGACTTTATTATTAGTATCATCAGCTGATCCATCTGAATAATAAATGAGGGACTGTTAACCTACAAGATTTGTACCATAGACTTCCATTATAACCACATTTTTTTTATCCCCTCCCCCCCTTTAAATTAAAGTGAAAAAAAGATTTTGCACTAATTGTCCTCTGCATTTGACCCTAAATGTTAGTGGTGCCATGGCAGCCCGGGGACCGACTCTAATTCTGAGGTGCCTTTGTCAAGAGCAATGACAGGAGTATCTGAACATCCATAACATGCATGTTGTTTTAGGAGTATAATAATTATCTTTATGCTGGTTGGTCTCCCACCCTCTGCGGGTTATCAGCTAAAATGATGTCCCCATATAATCAAATCCACCATCCCCCCCTGATTTCTTTTTACAACTTGAGTACTGGGTATGCCCATTATTTTGAGTTCGTCCGAGGAATAGACAGGAATGTGACGGTGAGGTGCAAACTGTGTCCAGGCCAGAAGCTGTTATCCACTGCTGTAAACACCACGTCAAACCTCAACAAACACCTGCAAAGACAAATGCTAAGGTGAAGCTAATAGCTAAGGACCCCCGAACCCAGAGTGATGATGTTGTGAGTGCGCCGCCGCCGACTCCGAAGCAGCAAAAATTAGAATTTGGAGGACCGGTAACCAAAGCAGAGATGGACAGGCTTGTAGCATCCTTCATAGTAGAGGAAATGTTGCCCATTTGCACAGTGGAATCACCATCGCATTGTTCAGAGATATACTGCGCAAAATACAGATAGCAGGAGACAGAGGACAGCCATGGTCAGAGCTATCTGGATCAGTCTTATGCGACAATGGAAACTGAACTAAAGAGAACATTTGAAACTTTAGCAGTCTGCGTGATCTGCCTGTAGGGAGGGGCGGGCCGGCCCTGCAAGTAAATTAACGAGTAAAGTAACGAGTTACTTTATGTAGAGAGTAACGAAGTAGTGTAATATATTACTTTTTTTTCAAAGTAATATGTAATATATTACTTTTTTTTAGTAACGACCCCATCTCTGAGCAGGTGTGTTAGTTGTTTTGCCCTTTTATCAAACCAACATATTTAAAAGACACACCTGCAGTCAGTCAGCAAAAGACCGAAGCATTGCCCAGTTATTAATAAAACTAACTATTATACATGTAAAAACAATCAAAGGAACTGAAATGAACAGGAAAAAACGTATACAAACAACAATCAAATCATGTTTAAAGTGTATTATTTTAGAAAGTAGGCAGGGTTTTAACTACTGTCCCTCTTCATTCTTAACACAACTAATTATGTCCCTTTTTGTATATACAAGTACAAAATCATGAATGAATGAGAAGAGATGGTCTGAAAGTGTTCATCATTATCCCTAATACAATAATAAGTATTCTGAACACTTGTGTTTTAAAATGTGGTCGGACAACACTTTTTTATAGCTAGTTTCAATCATGCTCTGCCTGTAATCTAAACCCGACTTCTACCTCACCTTCAGCTCCAGAAGTCAAAGGTCAGTGGACCAACATGCCTCTACGGACTTACATTGGCTCTAGCTTGAACCTGCAACTACATCCAGCTTAATCCAAACCCAACATACTCTTCCCTTCACGCTGACCTGCCTTAAAAGTGAATTACTCAGGAACGTGGAAAGACTCTGGTAGATGGACACCTTGCCCTATGTTAATGAAAAGACAGCCACAAGGTCGAGACAGGACAAGATGGCTCTCACTCTTCTTCATTCCAAGACAGAAAGAGTAGAAATAGATGGTGTAATACGCTATGCCACTCCCCTGCTGAGAATTCCCAATATGCCTGCCTTTCAAGCCCCCAAGGAAGGCGTTCTGCCTCGTCTCTGTGCCACAGAAAGACGCTTGTCCAAAGACTCACAACTTTCTGAGAAATACCAGGAGGAACGGAATAAACTCACAGAGCTTGGCTATGTTAAAAGGATCCCCAACGAGCAGGCTGAGCAACCACAGGAAACCTGGTATTTTCCACATCACATAGTTGAACACAACAACAAACACAGGATTATTTGATTGCTCTTTTGAATACATGGGACAAACCCTGAACAAATGTCTTCTGCCTGGCCCAACACTTGGTCCCTCACTCATTGGAGTACTCCTCAGATTCCGCCAAAATGCCATTGCCATCTGCGGAGACATAAAGGCTATGTTCCATCAGGTACGCCTTTATGAATGAGGACAAACCCCTGTTGCGCTTCATTTGGAGAGGGATGCAGCTCGAACAGGAACCCAGTGTGTATGAATGGCAAGTTCTTCCATTCGGAACAACCTGCAGCCCATGCTGTGCCACCTTCGCAGTCCAATAACATGTCAAAGATCATTGTGATGGAAACAAGGAGGTCCTTGAATCCGTCCAAAATTGTTTTTATGTTGATAACTGAAAAGCTATCACTCCCCCCAAGAAGCAAAGTCCCTCATCGACAAAATGAGACCTCTGTTCTTAGATGGTGGTTTCGACATAAGACAGTGGGCTAGCAATGATCCATCCATAATAAAACATCTCCCTACAGAGTCCAAATCCAAGACTAACGAGTTGTGGCTCTCAGAGGGTGGAGACCCTAAAGAGCCTACATTGGGCCTTCAATGGAACTGCCTCAAAGACACGCTGGGCTATAAAAACAGAACAATCACTTACCACCAACCAACAATGAGAAATATCTACAAGGTCTTGGCATCTCAATATGACCCCTTAGGCTATCTGATCCCTTTCACTACCCGTGCACTAACAGCAGGCTCAATATTCTCAATATTATGGTTGGAAAGGTGATGTGCAGAGAGGAGTTTGGAAGGCTTTGGGTGTGCAGGCATTTTGTTATTTTCATTCTTTGTTCTCGTCAACTCACGGCTTTGTTGACGAAGGACTGGAGAGGAGTCCATATTGAAAGCAAGGTGTGAGGAGCAATTTACAAGAAGAAATGTCCCGCTGTAACTTCCTTCTGTGCGTCTGTTACGTGCCTCTTGTGGACAGGAGGGTTACACACATGCAATTTCTAACAACAGTACTTCCTGTCACCTGCGGCCCCCAAATCCTCCTGCTTCTCCTGGTGTCCAGCCAGTGAAGATCTAGCAACCACTTTGATGGTCTCCTATTTCGAGCCTTACACCTAAGGCTTTTGGAGGTGAGTCGTATCTATCCACTTAAAACCTCATCCGCTGCCTACTACTGTTAGCTTCAATACCACCCACGTCTATGACAGCTACGTCCCAATCTTTTATCTCCAGCTTCCTTGAGGACTTAAACCTACAATCTGGGCAAGCTGCAGTGCAACCACTATCTGCAGCCTCTAATATCCAAAGCTTTAGGGAGCAGTGACTTTTTAAACACCCTACATTACATTTTGAATTTTAGAAGAGATGATTTATTACACTTTTTGGAAGAATAGAGCTATGTGTACTGGGTCTCAATTCAACACACCACAAGCTCTATATACTTGGTATAAATCATTCAGAAATCTTCTTATTACTAGAAATAACAATCTAGATCAACCTCATTCTTTACTTTGTATACAAATAACTACTTTTGTGATGTGTTATGGATGCACTTTTAATATTTTTTGGAATAATCTTGAAAATCAAAAATGGAAATTAGTCTGAAGTATCAACTGGAAACCTTGCATTATTTATTTATTTGCAGCCTTTTTTTATTGACATTGACACATTTGTGAGGATATCTTCTTTGTTTGTTTGCTTGTCTTTTATTGCAGTGCAGTCATTTTTCTCTGTCACTGCACATGCCTCTCCTCTATGTGTGTATAGCTGATTGTATAGCTGCATCCCTATAAAGTGACTCATGGATAATGACGAAAGACCAGTTCAATGACCAGACAGTTATTAACCGAAATATGCACTGATGTATTAGCCACTTTGTGCAAACCACATTACAGACATTGATGTTACGCTGCCATAAGACAGTGACAGGGCTATCACTATAAGAACATTTAAAAAAGGAAAAATACAATTTTCACATTTTGATTATTTACACAATTAAAACTCAGGTATATAGGGTAAACACATATACATCTTGTAATGGTTATATTTGCATTGTACAATATCTGAGCACACAAAAAGGCAAATTATTTACTTTAGTTTTATATAACAAAAATAAATGGTCAAAGAAATTGTCATAAAATAAACATAGTGAATGGCATTATAACTTGATAAATTGTCCTGGGTTGAATTTAGTGTTTCTAAGAAAATTAAAACGGATGCTTATTAGAAATCTACATGGTGCCAAACGTTGTCCTTCTACTAATAAAAACAGTGTACATGTGTGTGAGTCGGTTCCAGTTATATTCACAGTGATGGATGAGTTAATGTTTTCTCTAGATAACATTTGAAGGGATCCTGAATGCCAGAATATAATGACAGTTGCAATACAATTTCTAACCAAGCATGATCAGTATAGCCTTATTGAATCCAGAGTAATATTGGGAAAACATGAGTGAAACTGGTTGAGAAAACAGTCCAACCTCAAGGTCCATTTGGTAGCTGTTCCAGAGATTTCAGCTGTACAACATGGTCTTCCTTTGAGCACTTTAAGTGGATTTGTCAACCGCTATTTCCATTGTCAAGAACAAGCTTTGCAATAAAACACTGAAACAGTTTTTTCTCTTCTATATATATATATCAAAATTCTATAAAACATTTAAATACATTTGGACAAAATACATTACCTCTAAACTGGGCTTTTACATGCATCTCAAATGATCAGACATCTCAAATATCACAATGCCCAGATATAATATAGTGCAAAATCACAACCTCAAACAGTAAACGTTACTGTATACACTGCAGCATTGCAGTATTAAATGGCTTTTTATCATAGGCTTATTAAAAACGACTAATCCATCCGCCGTAGACTATTTTTAGCCTTTTAAATCATCAGATTATTATTCAAAACTTTACACCAGCTCTGTTACTGCATGACAATTATGTATGAAATGTCCAATAGCACTGATAATAGAATGGAGACATGGAGAGAAAAACCCTGCGAGTCCTTTGAGTCTTCCACCATGCCAGCTCTGTGGGCGTATGTTTAAATAAACATCCTAAAGGCGTGTCTTTTTTAGATGTATTCTTACACCAGATAGAAGAGAAGTAAAGTAGTTTTTGTGAAGCAAACATCACTGAGGAACTGGCTTCAATTAGTTACAGCAATCATTTAGAGCTGCTCCCACATCATGTGTACTTCTATACATTCAAATCATACTTTAATCTTTTCTTTATTATGGTTAATACCACAGTGTTCGCTATTAACCTAATAGCATTCGCCCTTCTGATGCACTCCATGTTTATGTATTTATTTACATATTACAATTAAAACTCCCTGTGCCTAAATAATGCATCATTACAACTGTTCCCTTATGAAAAAATCTCCTAGGCTATGGAAGCTGAGTCACTTCGACCCTCTCTTTTGTGATTTTCTGTCCAGTCTGCTGAAAAATAGGAACGCAAAAGGAGAGCAAAAACACTATTAGGATTGGTTCTTAAAATGTAACATGTTGCATGGTGCATTTTTAAGGTCCCATCACATCCATTCTGTGTGATATGCGATGTTTTCAAAATCTCCTTCTTCTTAGGCAACAGGAAATTCTATAATCACACACCAGCGTTACACCAGCGTTTCTTCTTCAAGTCTTGTCGCATATTACCATAACCGTCGCCCAGTGTAGTTTACTGGGGCTGTGGGCATCTACACCAAAGAAACAAAAACATGTAGTAAACAAGTTTAGTATTGTTAGGGTTGGTTATTTTTATGTCAACAACTCACAATGTGTGTTTCTTCCATACTTACCGTTCCACCATTCATGACCAGAGCCATCTCAGTGGGTTGGTAGACGTGACCTCTGAAGGCGATGCCGGGACGCATACTCCCGTGGCTGCTGTGGTAGGTTCCAGTTCGGAGTGCTGACCCACCACGAAAGGTAAAGCACACACACGCACGTTATGGGTGTTATGCTAACAAATGTTACATCTACTAACTAGACCATAATGGCTCCAGTTTCAAGGGAACCTTACCTACTATTATATGGCATATTCATACTGCATGGTATGTCACGGCTCTACCTTTTTGTGTCATCCTATGAGCAAAATGTGTGGATGGTACCTGGTACTGTTTTGATACTATCTCCTTGGAGGTTCTTAACAAGCTGAGCAAAAACTAGAAGGTGGAGTAAAACACTTTAAACTAATGATTAATCCATGAGAATATTCACCAGCGGATCATCTTGCGCAAACCTGGACCTTTCTTTATTAGCTCTATCCAAATATTTTAAAAGATGGTAGCTGGAGAAACTATAATGCACAACTGACAGCAATCAGCTGATCATCCCATCACACTAAGGGGGTGCTCTTACCAGAGGAAAACAAAATAAGCACCTTGTACCAAAATTGAGTTGATTTGAGCAGAGCTGTACCATAATAGATTAAATGTATTATACCGTGCAGTGGAAATGCAGCCATGTGATGACAGTGCTACTGATTTGTATAAATGAAACATATATTACATGTGAAGCAACTATTGGGGGATGGTTAGCATAAGGGCGCTTACAAACCATGGACACTTTTATACATTTTAGGGCACTATTTAGCCAATACTTTTCTCAGATCTTGGAAAATGTAACTTAAATGGCTTACAATAAGAAATTGCAAGCAATAAGCTACAAGGATGTCAACTGATAAGGTGTGCTAACCTTGTCATTTTTTATGCTAAAGCAGATACATCATATTTTTCTAATCTTAGCTCAAATTAGCCAATAAAAAAACACTGGTATGTTGGTAATCCTATTAGATCCACTTGGCATTTTTTCAGACAAAATGGTGTCCTTTGGTCCTACCACTTTAAAAGGAAAAACGTTTCTGGCAACTTTGGTCTTATTTTTCTATGTATGGTCATGATAATTACAATATATAACACAAGCTCTACTGCAGTGTACCTGCCTGTCAGCCTTCCATCTCGTGCACAAACTTATCTCGTGCCCTCATTGGTCATGTGCTCGTTCGTGTTTGTTGGAGGAGGGGCACTGTAAGGAAGTCTGAAGGAAGAGGCAGATTTCTTCCGGTTGTGTACTTTCAAATTCTAGCTCACTCGAGCTGGTTTCTCCATTCTTACCTACCCTACCTTTAAGGAAGGTAAAAAGAGACTTCATCATCCTTTTCAACCAATAGTAACTCTTCTGGAGACTTGGTGACACATTGTTACATTGCTTCCCTCTGTGTTTTCTTAACTAACTCTCTGTATGACTCTGCCATTGTGAAAGTTGGACTGCTGTCACACTTTGTGCTTTCTTACAACAGACTGCGTTCTGCCACTCTTTGTTTATCCTGGTTCATCGTGGTTTAGCTCTTCATCTGTGCATTTGGCTTCAGATAAATATGGACAGCTACCAAAGTGAAATGACTCATACATATCCCTATAAGCCTCTTAGATACTCATCCATTTCATAGGGTTTAATTGGATTTTGTATTATGCTGCAGGAGTGGTTTGAGACGTTTTATTACATATTTGTATTTTTATATATTTATTTATTCCACTGAGAGAACTGAGGCCTTTTTAAAAGCACAGATTTAGGCTTAACAAATCTCCTGGGCTACTGGCTGAGTTAGGAGAAATGTCTAAAGATTTAAAAACTCCTACTTCTATCAAAAGCTGCTACATTGCGTTAGTGTTTTAGAAAATGCAACAATAACGCAGTGTTAAAAGCACATTTGGATGACTTGCGAGTTACTAACAATCAAATTGGTCAACCTACAAGTCAAATGAATCCAATAGCACTGTAGAGGACACTTTGCAGACGCCTCCACTACTACTGGGAAAATGCAATTAATCACATTTTGAATAAATTAATGAAGTAAATTAAATTGTGTTAAATGTTTTAATATCCAATCTTTGCACGCTCTTTTTATGTTAATGTATATTTCATTGATTCACTGACACAAACCAGTTCGCTTGTCAAACAATCTCTGTGTAAAGTCCATGAGACATGATGTCATGATGTATTTAAAAAGGTCAGACTCCATAAAAGCTGGTTGTTTTTGTTCTCTACTCGGCATGACATTGAATGGCATGAACACAACGTTGTTTTTTGTTTAGTTTTTGAAGAGGAGACATGGCATCATCCGTTTTGTTGATAGTTGCCAAGCAACAGTGATCTCATGGCTTTGTCATGACTTACCATTAAACCAAACACATTTGTAATCAACCTTTAAATGTTGAAAATGCAACCAAATGAGGTCCATTTAAAGGCAGCATTAGAAAACAGGTTGAAAATCCTTTCTTAGATTATTTCATCTTTAAAACAAACATGAACAGACACACACACACACACACACACACACACACACACACACACACACACACACACACACACGTTACATAAGCCTACTTTCACCGTGCTCCTCCATAGAAAAGGCCTGGTTCTCAGGGAAGGGTCGGTGTGAGTGTGCTGGGATCTCATCTCCAAAGTGTGGAGGCGGGGACGTATGAGTGGTGTCGAAGAAGTCTTGCGTGATGGACTGCGGAGGGTTCCGGAGACACAGGTGGGCCTCTGGAATAGCGTGGAACAGCAGCAGGATCCAGCCCTGAATGACCAGGGCCACCGCCAGCGCAGGCTCATCCAACACCTTCACATCCTTCTTCCCTGCTCCCCCAAAACGCTCCCCTTTCCCCTTTCCCCTCACCTGGCTGCCATAAAGATAAAACCCCAGCCAAGCCACCCATAGCAATGCTGATGCCAAACTGGACAGGAAGAGCCAGACGGCGTTACACTTCCATCTCCGCTTTTCACTCTCTCCTTCTCTATCTTCTTCACTCTCTCCCCCCAGCTCTCCTCCACACAGCACCACCCCCAGAGAAAGCCCCATGGCTATGAGGAGCAGCCCCAGTGTGTAGCTGCATGTCAGAGCAAAGTCTAAAGGTGGGTATTCGCAGGCTGGGTGACCCTCTCTAACGACAGTCAGCAGGACCCATTCAGCAGAGATGATTCCCTGAACCAACGCCAACGCGAGGCCCAGAGCCGCCAAGGAGCTTCCTGATGGACTCGTCTGGCCGGCCACCAGCCTCCTGAGCCTCACACCCTGCACCAGCAAGCTGGAGAAGCAGAGGGCAAAAAGGGGACCCCAGAAGGCCCGGCGGACCACACAGAGTGCCTGGTTCTTCCCCACCAGGAATGCCAGGGAGATGGTAAAGATCCCCAGGAGCGTGCCCAGGAGCAGGAGAAGAGGTCCCAAGCCGGAGCGCCTGGCGGGGTCAGAAATGGAGCGCAGCTTGACCAGTAGCAGCACGGCGAGGACCAGCGAGGCGAGGCCGCCGCTGCAGGCCACCGCCTCCAGGACCACCCCCCAGACAGCCTCCAGGTCGCACAGCACTCTGTACGGAGGGTCCACATCCACACTGCAACCCCGGGGAGGAGGAGGAGAGGGGTGCGACGAGGCATAGCCCATCAGGGACAGGAGGCAGATGATGATAGGGCTGACGGCCATCTTAGAGATACAGAAACAGAAAATATGTAGTAATGGGGAGAAAGGTGCAGAGAGATAAACAAGAGGAGTGATACTGTGGAGGAAGATACAGAGAGGAGGGGGGCACGAAGGTGGATGTCGTGATACATAACTATTTCATAAATACTGCCTCTTCATGAGTCACAATATACAGAAGAAACAGCAGACAACATTTATTAAGATCCAGTAAGCCTGTTATACACCAGAGATTAATATGTCTTTCTGTCTAACACACACACACACACACACACACACACACACACACACACACACACACACACACACACACACACACACACACACACACACACACACGCACACACACACACACACACACACACACACACACAGAATAGAACTGCTTTTAGCACTGGGCAATAGTTTCCATGGGAACGGGAAACAGCGTGGGCTGACTATTGCACACTGGGCTTTTGAGAAGTCGAGTTTCAGTACCCAAAAGCACAGAGAAATTCATGAGTATACACACACACACACACACACACACACACACACACACACACACACACACACACACACACACACACACACACACACACACAAACACACAAACACACACACAAACATAATGTTTATACTCACTTGTGAGAACCCCTTAATGACAAATTCATCCCCCAGCCATAAAACATGACCCTTAGTTGAATCTTCATGTAAGTTGTAACCCTCCAACAGTGAAGAGTGATCCCAAAATATCCTTACTGTCCATTTCTGACAAGGATAGAAGTATCCAAACACAAATAAACACACATACGTACGTACGTACGTACTAAATTCGACACAAATGATAAAACTCTTTAATAAAACTCACCTCAGATTAATTCTTGCCTTGAAATGTTGATTATTGGCAGTGAGGGGGCATTATTATTTTCCAGTCTGCATCCCAGCAAGTATTTTTGTTTTATTATCCCAGTTAATTAAATCCTTGAGGCAGCGAAAACAAAACGGTTTCCATTTTGTCTCTTATGTCTCTCTCAGCTCCCACTGTTTTTAAAGTAAAAAACAAGCACACTTTGTTGCGAGATCAATAATGTCCTTCTGCTGCACTGTTACGTCCGGCTGCTCCGAGAAAGATCTACAATTATGATGCATGCCTTGATACTTCACACACCCACGGAGTCAAATATATCTTGTGTGTCTCTTTCACTCTTCTCTCTCGCTCCCTCTGTCCCCCTCTTTCTAGTCATTCTGTCTGCATGTCTCTTTTCTCGCTCCCTGCTTCACGCTGAATCTGCGGAGGTGTCAACAGAGACGCAATCCCAGCTTTACTCCTGCTCACCCACTCATGGGGAGCATGATTTGCTGATGCACCTGTCTAAACAGGAAGGAAAATGTGAAATAAGTACAGTACATAACCATGGTAATTCACAGCCAATCCAGTGTGAGTCACCAGCATGTTAGAGTGTTATTTCCTGCCTACTGGCTCCCACGTCTTCCTCATTATTCAATTCTTCCTCACACCCAGAGCTGGAGATTCATCATTAACCAGCAAATTGGACCAAAATCAATGGACTCTTCAACAGGGAGATGTTTGTGAATGGTGTGTGTCGCAGAGTGAAGGAGAAGAAGTGAAGGCTTTGGAAGAAGTGGGGCAGATGGTCAATCTAAACACAGGTGAGCCCTGTGGCCACGTGGCTGTCCTTGTAGAGAGTGTTACATAATACCCTTGAAGACATGATTCAGCCAAGTCCCTTTAGAGTGGCGTAATCTCCTCCCCTGGAGATGGCTTCATGCGGTGACACGACGAAAGAAAAACCCAACCATTGTACTAGCTTATCGAGTCTATTTGGATCAGTGTGAGAGAGATTGATGCTGACAGACAGTAGTGGGCTCAGTGACAGAAAAAGGCCAAAGCTGTTTTTTGTGACACAAATAAACTGACAGTTAGTGATAGTGAGTGTTTTGGACAGTCATAGCAGATTAATTACTTAATGAATGGGTTTACAATAGATACATCACTCATGACAGATGACATGATGTATTGTATTTTAAACTAAAGCAGACAACCATAGTATGCAGCCCTATTTATAATTGCACCATTGTCCATCACAGATAACAGCAGACTTTATATAAGAAGTGGATGAGGATAGTTTCCTTTACGTTACCCATTTATTAGTCGCCTATGGTTTTAGGCAACTCAAATGTTACATTTAACTTTTATGAACTGGTAAGACTGAGAAACGATTAAAGGTCACCTATTACATTTTTCATGTCCTCTATACATAAAATGCGTCCCTGTGTAAAGAGATTCTGAAAGTTTCAGGAAAAAAGATTCTCTCACTTTTTGTCCTGATCCATTTATATAAAAACCTGTCTGAAAATGAGCTGATCAGATTTTGGCCACTTTGTGATGTCATAATGTTTTTTTGGGTTGTGTAACCATGAGCCAATCACCAACCAAGGTAACCCCGCCCACCTTATCACCTGAATCTCCTCCTCCATATCTCGCAGAGGGGCGTGGGGTGTGGCACCTTATTTTCATCTAAAGTAACAGATGATTTGTATATAACTGAGAACTATAATATATTAATGAAAAACAGTATAACAGGAGACCTTTAAAGTTATCAGACGAAAAAACATGGACAACAACCAAACTTGGATAACGTGATAGCGAACCTTCACAATGTAGCCACGCCCACAAACTGCATTATCGGCTTTTTTAACCCTTTAACTACCAGACCAAGAAAAAAGCTATGGAAAAATTATTTGTCAGTGCTCTGACACTAAAATATGTCAAAAATGATATGGTTACCTTACAAAAGTTGACCAAAAAGATGCATTAAAGGACACCTATCATGCTATATTTAAATGATATATTGTAGGGCCATACCTATATAAGGTATATTTATACGTTTCTGTTTTCAAAATACCAAACAGATCATGCATTTTAGCCATGCCTCATTTCGCTCTATGTGCTGTTTGCTGTCTACGGGGCTGATTCTGTGAGCTGCAGCTGACCACGCCCCCCTGCAGGAGAGGGGAGACGTGCTCTGATCAAGTCAAGAGGGGGAGAAAAAAAGATCTCCGTCCTCTGTGTTTTATTATATTATAATAGGCCTATAGAGTCGTTATTCATTTGTTTTAAAGCTCAATAAATAACAAAGAAGACCTTTGACCGGCACTTTTCTAATTTTGTCCGGAAGATTTAAACTTTAACGGACATCTTGACCGGCGAAAGAAACTGAAACTGAAACTCGGCCGCACGGTCCCCTCGTTCCTTGGAAGAGGCGGAGAGGTGGGTGTTTGTCATCTGCTGGTGGACTAACCGGAGAGAATTACAGTGCTTGCTGACGTCAGTAAAGTGTTCAAATCTGGATCAGTTTTTATCAGATCCGTTGCAGCCCCTTTTTTAGAGATTTGGGTATGGAGGAAAATAGAGAGGGTTGTGTTTTCTGACACTTGGTGAGTTCCCTGGAACACCGGGGACACATATTCATGTATAAAAGACGTACAAAAGTGCATTTTGCATGATAGGTCCCCTTTAAGTGAGAAGCATGGTCATTGTCTCATAGACTTCTATACATTTGACCTTTTTAGGTCACTTATGTATTGGCTTCACTTTTCAGAACCTTAGTCGGGTCACAGGGGCCAAGGCTTTTTAAAAGTCCTGGGTATTAATAACAGAGATTAATAAAAGACATTCATCTCTGTAATCCCTGCCCACCTCAGGTATTCATAAAGCAGAACTTTGTCACTGTCTTCAAAACGTTTGGGAATTCTTCTCAACTGGAGTTTTGTGTCTGGCATACCTGTATACTGTTTCTTTTCCTGTGTTTTATTTGCATCCCCTGAGAAGAAAGAGGTAGGAGACAACAGGGCAGAGAAGTGCTGACTAACTCAGGAAACCAGTCCTAATCTGTGTAATCCAGTGTTTACTCTGGTCACAGTCTAATAGGGCCTCGTATGGCCCATCCCATAATCCCACCCTTATCCCACCTCATGTCTTCATACAGATCCCAAAGAGGGCACAAACCGAGGCTCTATCTGCACGTTATTACTTTGTAACACGACTTCACACAGTAAAGACATGCACAGCTGGAGATCTGCAGTTTTCTCCTGATGGTAGAGTACCTTGCCCAAGAGCACTGATAACAGAATAAATTATTTGGTTGTGATCTTTAATAGAGGCACATGTTTGTACAGTTGGCTGATGTTCTTTAGGGTAGAGCAATGGTCTTTATTAACTTATCCTTTTTTACTGTTGGATATCTGATAGTCTTAGGAAAGTGTCTAGTGACAGCCATGATAAGATAATTCTCTCAATGCTAGGAAGGTGCTTTTATTCTTCCTTTGTTGTCCCTTGGTGTAGTGTAAACTGGACCATCCTTTATTTAAAATAAGTAGTAAATGCCATCCCTTCATTCCTTTAGGGCAGCAAAATGTAGAGCTACACACCATTTGGACGTCAACAAAATGCGCTTTTACTGTTTAATCACTTACATTGAAAGCATAACTCTTAGGAGGTGTGATTGTGTTTGGACATTAAATATTATTTCATTGTACAGCATTTAGTTTGTCACTGTACTCATCTACTGTTATATCTGCCGCTGCATAATTATATTGCTGGGTATAAGTGCAAGTAGATTCTCTTTACGTAAGTCCTCCCTATAAATTGTCCTTCTGATCTTTCCTTGACCTCAAAGAGGGAAATTTTCCATTGGGGTAAAGGAAAAGAGGTTGGGAAAAAACCACTATTCCCTTTTTTAAAGCAGTCCAAGTATAAAACAGGGCACTGTAGGAATTGTCAAGTGTAATGGCGCGTTTCCACTACACGGCCTCGCTCGGCCCCGCTCGGTATGGCTGGGCCTCGTTAGGACTGGCTCACTTTATGGCGCATTTCCATTACAGTTTAGGAACTGGGGTAGTATCTATAGTAACGCAGTGTAGGCGGAGCCGTGACGTCATCTTTGATGAGAACCCCAGAAAAACAACACAGCCGTTAGCTGTTAGCACTCAGAGCTCACAGCTCCTCATATATGTTCAGAAACTAGACAAAAGTTAAACAAGTACAAACCACAGACTGCCTGTGTCATGGTGAATACAGTCGCTGCTTTATTTATGTCTGTATAGGCCGTTGTTGTGAGTGTGGACGGTCGGAGCATATACTGCGTTAGCTTAGCCAATCTCCATTTAGAAAACACGCATTTTAAAAGGTTTTTCGCCTGCCGTCTGTCTGCAGACTTGACAAAGCATTAATTCATGGTTTTTACTAACCGGTATCAGTATGTTGTTACTTCGGCATCATTTTGAAACGTGTATTACAATTAAATCACGGTCAAATATGTCCATCTTGTTGTAGTTGTAGCCCCCTTGCCAGCGATGCTCTCTCTAGTTTAGCATACTCAGCCCGACTCAGCCTCGTTGTCTCTGGCCCTAGACCCGCGATTTTATGAGGCCAGAAAAACTGTGAATTAGGACCCGCCGGCCGGTACTAGGCCAAGTGGAAACGCAACCAAAGACGGGCCGCTGACGTCACAGCCCTCTTAAACCGTGCTCCGCGCTGTAGTGGAAACGCGCCATAAGTGGGGGAGCGTCAAATGAAAAGCTTCAGCTCACAGTCAGTTGGCTCTATCTGCTGTCTGCTTTGAGAATGGCAGTAAGCTCCAGTCTGAGATCTCATCTAACAGAACATTCACCACATCAGCTTAGTCTTTAGTCAGACAAACAGCATAGAGGAGACAACCATTTTACTTTGATACATTTTAGCCACTTCTGATCATATAAATCAACATACACATTTACTACTAAATGACAGCACCAACATTTAAAGGCCTCTCTTTTCCCTGACCTTCCCAATAGTTGCATCATGACATTTAAATGAAGGCAGACATTATTCAGAATAACATTATTCTCAGCAGACAGTTTGTAATGGAGGTTAATAATAGCTTTGCTCCAATCAAGTATTCCAGTTAACCCAGCCTGTGACCCAGCATGCACATTAACTGGTGTGCAGTCATCATTATTATAACAGTAGTGGCTGCTGGGAGAAACGCTTACTCTGTAAACACTTTATCCCTGCATCCCTTTCCTTCCAGGAATAACTGTGAAAAAAGAGTCTGCCCCTCTTCCACATGCCATCATTATTTCACTGTAATTCAATTTTAAAACATATTGTATGCAGTAGGGATGCTCCGATCGCCAATTTTGGGGCCGATCGCCTGAATCAGTATCGGCCGATACCGATCTGATCGAGTGGGCGGGGCCTATGGGGATCTTCCATTTGAAGCAGT